CGTCATTGGGTTAGGACAAGGTGGGGTATTTGCCACCCCCCTCCCCTCCCCCGCTAAAATTGCAGTTTTATTTAAATTGATATTTACTGTGGCGCCTCCAGTAATTTAAAAAAAAAAACTTATCAAGCCGACCGAGTTTTGATTTTTGCCACCCCCCCCCCCTCCCCCACGTGAAAGGACGTAACTGCGGACATAAAAAAAAAAACTTATCACGCCGACCGAGTTTTGATTTTTGCCCCCCCCCCCCCCTCCCCCACGTGAAAGGACGTAACTGCGGACAAGCTTGACGTTAACGCCCCTATAAAGTAGAATCATAAAAATTTGTGCACGGAAAAAAAAATAGGGGTTAGGTGATGAGTACATTACCTCGGTTGGTTGGTTTGTTTTAAACAAACAAATGAACAGTGAAATTCTTCTTCTTAACTTCTATTTGGACAGTATGACCAATTAGCCTGCTGTGGACGATGTGAACAATTTGCCTACTGTGAACAGTATGACCAATTAGCCTACTGTGGACGATGTGAACAATTTGCCTACTGTGAACAGTATGACCAATTTTCCTACTGTGGACAATATGACCAATTAGCCTACCGTGAACAGTATGACCAATTTTCCTACTGTGGACAATGTGAACAATTTGCCTACTGTGAACAGTATGACCAATTTGCCTACTGTGGACAGTATGACCAATTAGCCTACCGTGAACAGTATGACCAATTTGCCTACTGTGGACAGTATGACCAATTAGCCTACCGTGAACAGTATATCCAATTTGCCTACTGTGGACAGTATGACCAATTAACCTACCGTGAACAGTATGACCAATTTGCCTACTGTGGACAGTATGACCAATTAGCCTACCGTGAACAGTATATCCAATTTGCCTACTGTGGACAGTATGACCAATTAGCCTACTGTGGACAGTATGACCAATTAGCCTACCGTGGACAGTATGACCAATTAGCCTACTGTGGACAGTATGACCAATTAGCCTACTGTGGACGTATGACCAATTAGCCTACCGTGAACAGTATGACCAATTTGCCTACTGTGGACAGTATGACCAATTAGCCTACCGTGAACAGTATGACCAATTTGCCTACTGTGGACAGTATTACCAATTAGCCTACTGTGGACAGTATGACCAATTAGCCTACTGTGAACAGTATGACCAATTAGCCTACCGATTATATGTTTTTGTTTTGCTTTTACATCAGCAACAATTTTTATTGCCCTTTCTATTTTTCTTCCATTGCGCCCACATGCAATGAATTTTTCCTGTTTTGGAAGATCTTTGATGGCGCCCTAAGCCCTTGGCGCCCCGGGAAAATGCCCTAGTTGCCGGTACCTTGAGCCGGATCTGTGTGGTGCTGGGGTTGCTTAAGTCACTAATTAAATTGATTATTAATCAATATTATTTAATAGAAAATTCAAAATAAAAGCACATTTTTTGTCCACCCACTTGTTTGTTAACACGCAATTTTTTAAGTTTGAGTCAGATACTGTGAACGATGGTGAAACGGGCGGGAGAGAGGGGAAAAGGAGATAGAGAAAGTAGCAGAGACAGAGAGGGGGTGTGTGTGGTGGCGGGTTCAATCAGTACAGTGTTGTCCATGGTGTTATAAAGACATTTGAGCACTTAGGACCGAGTGACGGATGGATGTAGACTTTCTTTAAAATGTATTTTCTTTCATTTCATGACAGATAAAAATTATTTTTAAAGATAAATATGTATGGGCTCCGTTAAATTATGTGTCAAACAGAGTAGCTTGCCCGTGGTTGCTGCCTACTTTTACCACTTTGGGTTGGCTCCAACATCATATCTTTTGTTTCTCAACTGGATTCCAATAAGTTAAGTAGGGTTAATTAAAACAGACCCAATAATATAGTGTTTTTTTTAATAAAATGTGAAATTTTAATATGATTAATTTATTTTCTCTTATTTCATGGTGACGTCATCCGATCGATGTTTACCTAGCCAAACCATGACAAAAACACAGGACATGAAGCGGAAATGATAAACAGCAACCCATTATGCTCTTTTCTTTCCGAAAATAAATATTTTATTCCCTTGGTGATCGTACCCAAAAGACCAGGCCTGCACAACTCAAAATGTAAGGCGGGCCGAAATACTTCAAGAAAAACTTGTGCGGCCAAAAGAAAACAGGACAGGGGGGAACTATTAATAAAATAACAAGAATAAAAAATATTTCGTTACTTCACGGGTCGCAAATTTGTTGGTGACGGGCCGCGTGTGGCCCGCGGGCCGTATATTGTGCAGGCCTGCAATAGACCATTATTTTCTTTTGGCGGAGTTGTCCTCCCTATCGGCTACACCTGTGTCAGCTGTTTGATCTAGTCGTCACTGCAGAACTAGCCAGCCGGTTATTTCCAGTTTGCACCGCGTGGTCTTCCCCTGACACAAAACAACAGAGTGCTCGTTACTGTTGTCAACACTAATTGTTTTAATAACGTTGACAGGATCCATTAAAACATCAATCATGGTTAACCAACAGCATTCATGATTGACGTCATTGTAGTCTGGCGTATGAATCGGTAAAAATAGACATTGACGGTTCTGTTAATGTTTATGTTTTACAAACGAGATTTTATTTTTTGCGATAATGGCTTGATGTGATGTGGCTTTGGGGAAGCGGGGGGGGGGGGGGG